CACCACTCACAACAGCAGCAGCCGTCGTCGCACCAACACTGACATTTTTATCCCCCTTCTCGCTCCCCCCACCGACACTCTTCTCCCCACCCGCACTCCCATTCTTCACAGCCCACCCTTTAGGACTCGGACTCCCGACCCTGCTCCCCTCCCTCAAAATCTGCGCCGCAGTCGGCCCTGTGCCGTTCACCGCGTTCGCCCACCCCGTCAAGACATGTGCACCCGCGCCTCCGCCGAAATGCGTGGGCGTCGTCGTCCCGTTCGTCGACGCGCGCGATATCGTCGCAGGCGCTGCGGCGCCCAAAGACGGGAAATCATCCAACGAGGGGATGCGCTGCGGCTGCGAGGACTGGTGGTGTTGTTGGGCGTGCGCCGCGCCATTACCATTGTGCGAATGCGACTTGTGGTGGTGTTTTGTGAAGGGCTTGCCGTTCGTCGACCCAGGCGCAGACGCATTAGCACCCTCGCCGTTGATCTTCACAGCAGCCAGCTTCTCCTCCAATCCGTTCACCCCGTTCTCTTCTGCGTTTTGCGGGCTCTGGCTCTGTCCGGGGCCGCCTTGTGCGCCTTGGACGTGCCGCTCACGGTTATTATTGTTGTAGAACCCCCGCCCGCGGCCGGCCCAGCGTCCACCGTTATGGTGGTGCCCGTGCCCGTTCATCTTCCCATTCACGGCGCTGCCGTTGCCGTTGACGACGTCGCCATTGCCCAGCTGCTCACCCGGCGCAGGAAGGACATGCGGGAAACGACACTCGTCGCCGTTCCGACACCTCCCGCTCGGGAAGAACAGACACGCCGGCTTCTTCGAGTTGGTCCCGTAGCGTCCATTATGGTGGTGGCCGTTCCCGTTCCCGTTGCCATTCTCCTTCACGCTCCCTCTCCGTATGCGCATCCCCATCGGGCCCATCCCAATAGGCGCACCGATGTTCATCCCCACCGGCATCGTCACGTTGCCGAACTCGTCCATGGAGCTGCCAGGTGGCGGCGGAGGGGGGCCATACATCATCGGCGGGCCGTGCGGGCCCAGTTGCGGGTGATATCCTGAGGACGGCGACATGGGCGGCGGAGGCGGCGGCGGGTGCGGGCCTGGCATATACGCCATTAAGGGGAGCGGGACGGGGACGGGTAGCTGGGACGGGCTGAAGGAGCCGGGGGCGGGGCCTTGATTCGGGGCACCGTTGGGCTGGGGGACGCCGTTGGGGTGGCCGTTCAGGGTGGGTGAATGCATGACCTCGCTCTGGGAGCGCATGTGGGTCGGGGACGTCGCCGGGGGCGGGTACGGGGCATAGTAGAACCCTGCAGCCTCGTAAGGGTTGGGGTGGGCAGAGGTAGGACTTGTGGGGTTGGGGGGAGGGGCGAAGCCTGGGGGAGGCGGACCGTAATAAGGGGCCGGCTGCGGCGGGTGGAGGAAGACACAAGCAGAACCGTAGCGGCAGGCGGGCCAGTATCTACGCACTCGTTAGCATAGACACGTGGGATGGAAATCATTCACGCACCTGCAAGGAATATTCCGCGCTACCTCTGGCGGAGGCAAATTCGCTGGCGGAGTCGGGTTTTGCCCTGGCTGCGGTTCGGCGTCCTGGGTGGGCTGGGGAGGAGGCGGCGGCGGATACCACTGCTCAGGGTACGCGGCGTAGGCATAGGGGTTGTAGGGAGCATAGTAGGCGGGCTCTGGGTAGGGATGGAGGTCGCCACGGGCAGTCGCGAGCTCGTGGAGGATCTCGGGGTCGGTGGTGTA